ACACTCATTCCTGGGTAAGAAAGCCATGTGCATCACCCTGGATCTCTGGGTGCCTTTGAGTGTGGGACCCTGCTTACAGTCTGTTGTTTGGGGCTCTCCCGAGAGTGGAAGTCCATTGCCTCTAAATAGAGGTAAAATTAGGTCTGTCACTTTGGGTAACCGCACCACTGTCAGACGTCTCCCGAGAATGGACGTCCATTCTCTCTAAATAGGGTTAGGGTTAGGCATGTGTTGGTTATGGTTAAGGTTAGGATAAGTCTCCAGGAAATGCATGTAAGTCAATGTAATGTCCCCTTAAGTGATGCATACATGGTATGTGTGTGTGTGTGTGTGTGTGTGTGTGTGTGTGTGGGTGTGTGTGTGTGTGTGTGTGTGTGTGTGTGAGTCTCTGTGTGTGTGTGAGCTTTTTTATAGTGATGGCATAAACAGGGTAATGACTGTGATTGAAAAATAGACTCTCAGCTCTTGGTCAATAACAAAAATAGGGTTCACTTTAGTGTCCTTCAGCAGAGGGTATTATATATTTCAGGATGAAATGCCAGTTTGGAGAGTTCATTTACAAATGTTACTGCATGAGAGGCTTCTTTGCAAAACAGTGAGTTTAAATAATTGTACTGCATTAACTGGCAAAAGTGGGATTTCAGTAGAAAGCCGCAAATCAACGGCCATGCGAGCAGTTCTGTTGCAATGCTACCTGCTAAAGCAGGGGTGGGCAAACTTTTTGGCTTGGGGGCCACTATGAGTTTTAAAATTTGACAGACGGGCCGGGCCAGTAGCAGATCGGTGAAAAAATATGTAGCTGTCCACTCCTCATTAAACACTCGGCACTCAATGTTGACTTTTCTTTTCTTTGGTCCACTCATTGTTACAGATGCAGGTTCAGAGGTGAATTATTGCGTCATTGGGTCATTACGTCATCGTTTACGTCATGACGTAACCGTTTACATGCCTTCTTATAACCCACACAGCGTTTTACGTCGCTGATTTTTCCCGCAACACCGCTCACAACAATAGAGGATGGTAGTATTTAATTATACGAAGCCAGATTAAATTAAAGAACTACTTCTCCAACCTTATACCTTTCTGCCGTGGTGCATTGTTTATTAATGTGGTTCAGCTGCATTACTGCCCGCTGCAGTGCTGCTCGTCTACCGGAGTTTATTCTCCCGTAAACTCACGCCAGCGGCCGCAGTAAAGTTTTCATTGTCTGACTGTCACAAGCTGCTGATAAATATCCCCCATCCCCATAAGTGAATGTGTTTTAGTTTGAAAGCTATTCAAACGCTGTTATGAACATTTCTCTGGCATTCTACAGGTGATGTTAGCTAATCAGACTATCTTGACTACTTGTTGCTATCATTTTGTGGCATAAGCCGTTTTCTACACGCATATTTTACCGGCGTAGTTTTCGTTATGATTTTAATTGTGATGGCCACATGTAGCCCATGAATTGATTCCATCCGATAGCTGCAATAATACAAAACAGAACACGTCTGCCTTTTCGCAATGGTCAATAACAGTGAACGGATGGTTATTAAAGTAAGGTCAAATAAACAGAATCACACTAAGCCTGGCTAGTGTTGCCTGACTTTATATAAGTGTTTTTTATAAGTGTGTGGTCGCGTTCTAGTCACTTTGCTCAGCGCTACTGCTTGTTACAACTTGTATTCGCCATACTCACCATGAACTGTTATTACTCAGGTTAATCTCGCCCCCTCCAATGTAAGCGTGACATATTTGGTTCTTTGATCTTGCCGGGTTGCCGACTCCAGCAAAGGTAAATTGTGTCTGGAGTGCGCCATCTAGTGGGATCAACTGAAATGCCGGGTATTGCAGGAAAAAGGCAAAATGAATGCGGTCTTTACTATAATTTGGACAATTTCGTACCAATATTCGGCGAGCCGGATTCAAAAGCCCAACGGGCCGTATATGGCCCGTGGGCCTTAGTTTGCCCATGCCTGTGCTAAAGGCTAGCATGTGTTGATTAGCAATGATAAAAATGAAAGTCAGTTCTATTTTTTTCTCCATCTAACTCTAGTTTGATGAATTATTAATCATTGTAGATCATGATAATTCAGGGTTTGGGCAGCATTTTAGTTGCCTTAAAACATTTCTTGTTCTGCATTCGATTGTACTTTAAGAGACAAGTTTTTTTTCTATACATTTCGTTATAAATAAAATAGTTTTTTGCTATACAATTAATAGTTGTATTACAGTTAACGTGAATTACAGATGGGCCCTGCTAACCAAGCTAGCATTAGCATGTTATTTAATGTTTGCCATGCTAATGAGACCTGGCCCCGCACTTTCTCATCTCTGCCTTCTCGTCAAAATATGGTCATTTTTGATTCCTAAAAAATAAGATGACGGCGTCCATAAGGCCATAACCAAGCCATAAAAAAGCCATCATGTTGACTATGCTTACTTACTATATACATGTTGTCTATGATTTTAATATGGTACAATTGTGCAGTCATACCAACTCTCCCCACAATGGCTGGGCTTCAGTTATTGTCTTTGTTGCAGTTATGAAATACATGCAGGAAAACAACATGATTGATAGTGATGTTGTGCATCGCTTCGTCAGCCTCTGGATAAAGGCCCTGTCACACTGTCCCGAAATTGACACCCGATGGACACACGATAAAGGAAATGTTCAAATTCGGCTGTGATCGTAGCAACATCGGGCCATTCGTGAGGGCATCTAAGCCATCGTATGACCGCCGGTGGAGTTTCTCAGGCTCCGGCAGCAACTTCGTGAGCGGCAACTTCGTAAGGCACTCGTGAGGGCATCTTGTCAAATCGTGTCATCTTCGTGTCATCATCGGTGCATTCGCCCTCACTCTGATCGGGGCGAATGCCCGATGGCACCGATGATAACAACATGCCCTCACGATGGCCTTACGAAGGGCAAAATTGACACACAAATTCAACACGAAAATGAACCTTCTCAAGGTCCTTCGGCAATTTTTTGGCATGCCAAAGATTTTGCCACCGCTCACGAAGTTGCTGCCGGAGCCTGAGAAACTCCACCGGCGGTCATACGAAGGCTTAAGATGCCCTCACGAATGGCCCGATGTTGCTACGATCACAGCCGAATTTGAACATTTCCTTTATCGTGTGTCCATCGGGTTGTTTTATTGCACAACAAAATCATGTAAATATATTATGTAAATAACCCAATTTGTGTTCTGTGAAACTAAAAAGGAACAGTTGACAGGAAGTTGTTGTTGTTATGGAAACAACATTACGGAGAAAACGTAATATTTTCTACATATAACGACGGATAAAGTAAAGAACAAAGTCTGAAGATATCAGCACAGTATCATAGTACTGTAACATAATTGTTTTTGGTACTTTCATTGCAGTTGTATGTCTTAAATGTAATGTAAATGTTGCCTTCGTGTGTGGTTCGGGGCCATCTTCGTGCGAAATTCACAATTCCATATTCGTGTGTCCATCGGGTGTCAATTTCGGGACAGTGTGACAGGGGCTTAAAGAGAATCATGAACTAAAGTGAAAACATGATGTGTGAATCTGAAAGCCTAAACTTAAAAGACCAGCAACATTAAAAACTGGAGGCAGCAAAAACAAAACCAGAAGTCATTATTCTCTGTTTCTCTGATTCATCTTTTGGCCGCATTATGCAGAGCTGGTCGCTGTTCTCATGAGTCGAAATAATGAGGACGGCATTGACAGAATTTTTTTGAAATAATGAAAAGAAAGGATAAGAGAGAGAACGGAGAAACGGGCATCCTTTGAGATCTGTAAAGAAAATGTGTGTGTGTGTGTGTGTTGGTATTCTGCTCAGACTTAAAGCTCTGCTGTTTTCTTCACACACTTTTTGCCGTCGTGCACATGGCTGCTCTCTCTGACAGTCACAGTGTTTCGTCTCTGTTTCCTGAGGGGCTGCTGACAGTATGTCGTTTATTCAGATCTCTGTACAGCACTTATTTTTTCAATTTCACATGTGTTGTCCTCTGTTTGTTTGTCTGTCTTTCCTAACCACTTTTCCTTAACCTCACCGGTGTCATTTCCCTCAGTTTGAAAAGTTCCAGACAAAAACAAATACTCTTCTTGGGAGTCATCTTGGGTCGTAACTCTGTCAGTGTTCTTTTGTTTGTGTTATTTTAAATGTGCAATTCTTACATGTATCTCAGCTCGGATTCCCTCCGTACCAAAATGTCTCTTATCCGCTCAATTTTGCTCAGCTCTCCTTCGATGTCCTCGGTCGTAATCGTGGAGTCCGCCATGGAAACAACATCCTCTGCTGGAAAACAAACAACAACAAAACCCATTTTAATTCTAATAATTCATTAGGGAGGGGGGCAGAGGGAGGGGAGACCAGGTGCATGTTTAGAAAAAAAATGGTTACAGTTGATGAAGGGGTAGGGGCTGGGGTGTCTAAAGACAAAGATGAATCTTGATTGGGCCAAATTTGACCTCGAGTCACCCAAAACAATTCAGCTGGGTCTCCCCAGACCTGAACACCAAATTATACACTTTTGTTATACACTTTTTGTCCTTCAGACTTGGCAAAAATGGTCAAAATCTGTTTAGTAGTGTTTATATAGCTAGGATATCATGAAACAACTAGAGCGTAGTTATAATATAATTGTAACTTGAAACGGGTCACGGGAGACCCGAACACAACATACAGTAAGGGTTAAATAGGTGTTACTGTGCTCAGCACTGAGTCAGTTCTGGTGTTTTGGGTATTGTCTAATCTTTTACCGGTATTGCTGATAAGGCCACCTCCAGAGAATGCCCCCCAAGGCAAACATTAAAAAGTACCTTTTTATTTGATTATGATAAATCTACCTATTGTTCTCTCTGTGAACATATATGCTTTGTTCCCCATGATGAACAGGCACAAAGGCTGATAACATCAGACAAGGAAGCTGAGGGAATAATTAAACCAACCAGCAGTCCCTTATTATATTACAGGTGCAGCGTGTTTATCATCGCTCCACTTGCTGGTTGACAGTCTTCACACTCTGCTCCAGTGAGTCCAAAACATTAAAGTGGATAAACAGCAAGAAGAGAAAGAGCATGGTAAGAAGCTAACCATGACTTTGAAAATGCATAATTATTGGGACTTTATTGAATACTTTTTTTTAGTGTTTCACAGGACTGATCTGAGCTAGCATTTCATAGCTTTGTAAATGTGTGTGTTAGTGTGAAAGGATTTTGGTTGCGGTGAAATCACATCCCCTGAGTTCTGTTTGGTTTGGCTGATCTGCATCTGTGTTTGCTCAGGCTGCTGTATTTGCTGAGTGTTTTCTGTGACATGATGTTCTCTTAATGACTTTGCATATACAAAAAAGTTGCCATTTTCGTAGTATTAACATCTGTATTTTGAGCCAAAGTGCTGTGTAAAAAAACACATTACTACAATCACAATAACAATTACTTTATCTTCTGCAAAATTGTTATTCATGAATAAAACAATGTATATATTTATTTGAATAATCAACAGAAGTTGAAAATATATTTTAAATTCCAAACCACCAACATTAACATTGACTAATGAAAAGAGCTTTAGGCACTAAAAAGGAAACATAGAGCCAAAGAGAAAGGCATACCTTCTGTATTCTTAGCAACTTGTCTTATTTAACTCTTTATTATGAAGATGTTTTATTGTGATATTGGAAAGCAATTGTGCTATGGGAATAAGTTATAGTTTTTACTTACCTATAAGTACCTGTTTCATACCATTAAGCTTCAAGATCTATTTCCTTAAGGGGAATTTAGTAAATAATGCAGCAACATGATTGGAATATTTCGTATTTTCCTCACCAAATATTCCGTTTTTCTAATGCTCATTATGATGGAGGTCTCCTTATATGGCTATGGCTTGGTGCAGTACATGTGTGTGCAATTTAGAGACTGTTGTTGTGTCTTAAATCCCACTTTATCAGTGCTCTACCCTTATTGTCCTTTATTTATTAAAATGTTCCAACATAAGGCATGAACATTAATCAGTTTCTGTTAAAGGCAAAGGTGCCTGCCCTAAAACCAGTATTTATATCTGAAGATCAGTGGTAAAAACTTGAAAACATAAGCAGATTGAAGATACAGACAGAATGTTCAGGAAGTTCAGATGACTTAAATCAGTACTACGAAGCTGGTTCAACCTAACCTGGATATGTTTGAGTTAGCCGGTTGGCCTAATCCAAAACATACGCGCTCTCGCTAAACGGTACTACGACGCGGGTTATCAAGTGGATCGCTCAAGCCAGCCGTGTCCTATCTACACTGAACAAAAATATAAACGCAACACTTTTGTTTTTGCTCCCATTTTTCATGAGATGAACTCAAAGATCTAAAACCTTTTCTAGATACACAAAATAACCATTTCTCTCAAATATTGTTCACAAATCTGAAAAAATCTGTGATAGTGAGCACTTCTCCTTTGCCGAGATAATCCATCCCACCTCACAGGTGTGGCATATCAAGATGCTGATTAGACAGCATGATTATTGCACAGGTGTGCCTTAGGCTGGCCACAATAAAAGGCCACTCTGAAACGTGCAGTTTTGCTTTATTGGGGGGGTCTGGGGGGGTCCGAAAACCAGTCAGTATCTGGTGTGAGGGGTAGGGTTAGGGTAATGTTGTGAATTGAGTGGCCCATGGTGGTGGTGGGGTTATGGTATGGGCAGGCGTATGTTATGGACGACGAACACAGGCCACTTGATTCACAACATTACCCTAACCCTACCCCTAACCCTAATCCTACCCCTCACACCAGATACTGACTGGTTTTCGGACCCCCCCAGACCCCCCCAATAAAGCAAAACTGCACGTTTCAGAGTGGCCTTTTGTTGTGGCCAGCCTAAGGCACACCTGTGCAATAACCATGCTGTCTAATCAGCATCTTGATATGCCACACCTGTGAGGTGGGATGGATTATCTGGGCAAAGGAGAAGTGCTCACTATCACAGATTCTTTCAGATTTGTGAACAATATTTGAGAGAAATGGTTATTTTGTGTACATAGAAAATGTTTTAGATCTTTGAGTTCATCTCATGAAAAATGGGAGCAAAAACAAAAGTGTTGCGTTTATATTTTTGTTCAGTGTATGTAAATCTGTTGGTTTCCCAGCTAAACTTTATTTGGCTAAGTAAATATAGTTTTTCTAAAATATACCTTGTACACATTTCTTAAAATGGTGGCCAAATCCAAGCCATGATTGGAAATGCATCTTTATAGGCCAATAAAGTTGAATTCAATGATGTAATAAGATAATTATTAGGTTAAGAAACCCTCAACATTGCGCTTGACCTTTATTTGTTCCGTGGTATAAGAACAAGATATAATTGTGACAGTGTTCAATATATATGTAATTATCTAACAATACAAACAATGTAAAGCTGGGTGGTATGATCATATAATGTTTTTTTTCTTAAAAGGAATGGAAATATTTAAGACATGCTTGTCCATCTTTGCCCTTCTCCTGACACTAACTATTTTGGAAACAGGGAACTTCATTGAATCTCCAAGTCAGGTTTTACCGGTAGGTGATTACAATACTGCACAACAAATATGGGAACACAGCCTTCAATACACAAAGCAATTATTTGAACCTGAACCCTATCTGTTGTCTCAGGAACACAATGAAGAAGAATCATGTATACCTCACACCAGGGGAAAAAGGAGTGGTAAGTCTCATTATTAAATATTGTAGAATATTGAATAAAGTATGGAAGTCAGCTTATGGCCTACCTTTACTAAAAGGAGGGGAGGCCACCTCATTAAATAATTATAGACCAATCTCTAAATTGCCAGTTCTGGCCAAGGTTCTTGAACGCCTAGTGAGTGAGCAGGTAAAGGTGTTTTTAAGTAACAATGACATCCTATGTAAACATCAGTCAGGCTTCAGAAAGCAACATAGCACCATCACTGCGACAATGAAAGTGGTAAATGATATTGCGGATATCTTACACAAAAAGCAGAGTTGTGCAGCTCTGTTTATTGATCTTTCCAAAGCGTTCGATACCGTCGATCATCATATTCTGAAGCAGAGGCTGGCCAGTATTGGCATATCCAGCCATGCACATGTGTCACATATGGAGCCTGTGATTCCATTGTTAGTGGCATCTGTACATGCATTGATGCTATTCCAGCTGATGGACAGTCCTGCCAGGCAATATCAGGTGAACAAGTCATCACTTATTGATTTCCGTTCATTGCTAATTACCAGCAGCAGCCTGGTGAAGGAAGGGCTATACTGTCAACACAGTCTCACTCCCTGATAGTCCAATAGCAACGCTTGGTCAGGGTCCTTTGGCGTGCAGTTGTGACGCGCCAAGTCTCCTTCAGCTTCATAAACGGACGCAAAGAGCTTTCAACTGATTGCAATGTATTCCCATTGGCGGCGGTATTTGACGCTCAGCGATGCACCGCATCGGTCCATGTCGGTTGACATGGCACACATGACATTTTGACACGCTGAATATGGATATATACACCACATACTACCCCACTTCAAAAGACCAGAACTATCCCTTTAAGGGCAGCTGTTGATGTTCAGAACAACAAAAAACGCATGCAGGTTGTACTCTGTAGCCAGACAGTGGTAGATCTGGCCGTGGTGGAACATGGTGGTGGAGCATGGTGGTGGGCAGCAGTGTGACTTCTAGCTGTCATGGTGATGTTCATATGACAAGGGACTGCCAGCTTGAACTTTACCGAGAGCAGAGTCCACTAGTGGCACCTCACAGGGATACCTATGGTGCAGAAGCAGCGGTGAAGTCCTTGTAGATCCCTGGCACTTTGAGGGCAGACAGATCCAGCAGCTCTCAGCTCTCAGAGACATCAACACATCAACTATTCTGCGTGCATAGCTTACTTTCACATAACTACTATTCTCTCACTTTACTTTCTCTGACATTGTTCTCTGCTTTGGATTGCGGACATCCCAGCCATGTTCTCTACCGGGCCTGGTTTTACACTGTTGCCCCTTTCACACCAGCGCTTTTTCAGCTCCGGCTCGGAGCTGGAGCCTGAAAAGCGCCGGTTGTTCCTGTTCACACCGCAGCGGCGGAATCCGGTTCACTTCCAGCTCCAAAAAATTGTCAGTCTAGAGGCAAGAGCTTCGGAGCTAAGAGGTGGCGTCGCTTACGTCTCTCTTACGTCGAGGCGTGCAGGAAACTAAACCCTCCTCCGCTGAACATGGGTCGACTGTCATGCCTGCCTACAAGCAGTAGTGCTTAATAAACACACTTTATAAAGTCAGGCAACACTAACCAGGCTTTGTGTGATTCTGTTTATTTGTACCTTACCTTGACCATCCGTTCACTGTTATTGATCATTGTGGAGAGAGGCAGACGTGTTGTTTTGTATTATAGCAGCTATCGGATGGAATCAATACATGGGCTGCACAGGTTGTCGTGTCCGACTATCACAAGTAGAATCATAATAAAAATACGCCTGTAAAATGTGCCTGTAGAAAACGGTTTATGCCACAATAGGATAGCAATAGCAAGTAGTCAGTTTAGCTTCGGTTGCTATGCTAACATCACCCATTTTATACCAGAGAAACTTTCATAACAGCGTTGTGATGCCAAACAGCGTCAATTCAGACTGACACACATTCACTTAGGCTAAGGGGAACTGGGGATATGTATCAGCTGCTTGTGTGAGTCGGATAGTTAATACTTTAGAGCGGCCGCTGCAGTGTGAGCTAACCGAGAGCTAACGGAGGAGAATAAACTCCCGTGGAAGAGCAGCCAACACTGCAGCGGTCGGTAAATGCTGCAGAAACACATTAATAAACAATGAACCACGGCACTCTGGAGCAAAGTATAAGGTTGGAGAAGTCGTTTTCTGTCATGTTTGTATTCATGTTTGGAACTAATTGAAGCAGGTCACCATTGTAAAAGAGGTCTATGATCTCAATGGGTTTTATCTGTATAAATAAAGGTTTTGAATTGAATTTGAATTGAATTGAATTGTTATTCAATTTATTCTGGCTTCGTGTGATTAAAAGCAACACGATCATCGACCCGAAGCAGTTCCCCGTTGTTGTTGTGAGCGCCGTAATGCCGTTGGGGAGCAAATCAGCGATGTAAACGGTGACGTCATGACGCAGCAGCGGCAGCACCAGTCGGGTGCTGGGCGGTGTGAACAGAGCGGGAGCAGAAAAGGGAAACCGGAGCTGAACCAGAAAAGCTCTAGCTCGGAGCTAGAAAGGGAAAAGCGCTGGTGTGAAAGCCGCAACTGTGAGTTTAAGCAAGATATAGACATGATGAGTGTGTAGTTTTAGTATTTGAATTACAATGACATTGTTCTCAGACTTGCCATAGTTCTTGGTTTGTACCACTGCTGCTCTGTACAGCTGAGTACTGGGGATCCACTGGGAGTCATGTGACTGGAGCAGGAGAGTAACACACGTCACACCTGCAGCCATGATGCTCCAGCTCAACGAGGGTCGAGTCTTTCAGCCCCACATGTAAGAAGAGAAACAAAATAAATACGTATTCAGTTTGCTTTGTATTATTTCTTTTAGGGTAACATTTTGGTTTAATAACATTGTGCTATTTTAAGGAGTAAATAAGAATTAATATATGTTTTCCTAAATGTTTTCTATACTTGCATCTTCTTATACATACTGATATGAATTGATTTACTTTTATACTATGAACGAAGAAAAATGACTCTTTAACAACAGAACAGGATCAAAACACAACTGTGACCTCTGTGCAGCACACACAGACCAGTCAGTCCATTTCTGGGGAGTAGCTACCTTGTGCTAGTTATATTAAAGTTTATGTTTTAATATTGGCTGTGTCTAACCTGTCCGAATCCCCAGGAACATGTTGAGCGGTAACTAAGACAGTAACAACACTTCATCCTGAACTCACTGTGGGGCCTGTCCTCATGGACCTGTAGCATAACACCCTGACACATAAAAAACACAAAGTATGTTCATTAAGAATGCACATACTGTCCCTCCTCTGTATTTCAATGTAGTCAAACTTGTTGAAGAAAGACAATAAGTTTAACATTACAGAAATAAAAGCTTAATTACTCACCCTCCTTATTGTAGACATAACTTCACAAGCACAACTTGAAACATTTCTCCCGCTTGCTGCTGGGTGCAGGTGAAAGTAGGTCGACATTTCTGTTTACATCGCTGACATTTGTCACAGGTAAATCTTGTAGGTATCGCAACAAACATGACGTTGTCACACAGCGACAAGCTGGACACTGGAATGACCAAATAACTACACTCTTATTTACATCAGACACGTTATTCAAAACCGACAGCCTGTGTGTTGTTTGCAAAACACTGCCATTGAAATACCACACTCAATTATCAAGCCCCTGCACCCAGAATGTGTCGTGGTAAGCGTAAAGTAATACAGACGGTTTAGTTATTAGTTTAATTATTAGTTTAGTTATTAGTTAGTGATTATGGCCTGCATGTCTTTCTGTTCTAACTCAGGTGTCAGCTTCTTAGCAGTTTAGACAAACATCAAATTCATAATGTAGAGACTAGTTGGACAAAATAATGCTTAACAACTAGGGATGTCCCGATCACCTTTTTTTGCTCCCGATCCGATTCCGATCTTTTGATTTTGACAATCTGCCGATACCAATTTTTCCCGATCCGATCTTTATGCAATGCATTAAGAAAAGAAAAAGGAAAAAAGCATTCAAGTTGTCCCTTAAGGTTATTTTTTTTAATTTAAATGACAGTACCCAACTATCCATTCTATCCAACATGGATATAGCTTATTTTGTTCACAGCAGCATTGGATCAGTTCAGTTGTGCAGCATTGGATCAAAACAAAATAAAGCTTATCAGTCGTCCACCACAAAATAACCATGTAAACAAATTGAGTGCAGATAGTGCAGTAACAAAACAAAAATAACTCTACTGGAAAGAGGTAGCTTGACTAGCTTCACAAGTTCACATTCAGTCACAAATAATAAAATAAAATAAAAATGTGGCTTAGTGCAGAATTCTAGCCTTAAGACTAACTAGTCTAGTAATAATGCAATGAACAACAGCAGCTTAACATAACATGAATAAACAAAGTATTATATTTCCATCTTACTGGAGTAACACAATTCAATAGTAATCAATATTGTTGTTTTATAGTCATTTGTTAATGTAACCCAATTTGTGTTCTTTGAAATTGAAAAGGATATATTGTGTTTGTTACTTTCGTTGCAGTTGTATGTGTCTTAAGTGTAATTTGGCTTGGCTTCCTATTTGTGGACATGCTTTTATTTTGAAGGAAAAGTAGCGCTGTTGACAGGAAGTTGTTGTTGCTTTGGAAACAACGTGACGGAGATTAACGGAGAAAAGACGTTATATATAAAGACGGAGAAAGTAAACGATAACGTTTATGGTTAAGAGTTAGCACCCCCCGAAGAGGCACAAGCTCTTACGTTGATATTGGAGATTTCAATAAATGCAATTTGAAAAAAAAACGGGCAAAAAAATGAAAAAACAAACAATCGTATTAGATTGGTCGTGTTGAACGTAGCTCTGTTCTTTCCACCAAGCGGAACCTCCGCCTTGCAAACATTGCATCTGGCTGTTACACTGCCTTCGCTTTCAATGTTATAATACTTCCAAACTCCTGACATTTTCTCCGTCCCGCCTCCCGAGTCACCAGCTGAACGTAGCCTCTCGTTAGCTTGCTGCTACTATTAGACCCTGCGCCCTCTCTGTTGCTTTGAGAGGAATAAGCAACCAGGTCTGAAAACAAGCCCAAAAGAAGCAACACATACATGATGTTGTGTAATTTTAAACTAAAAATAAAGCCTCAGGATGACTTTAAGACGTGAACATGGTCATTTTTGTTTTGTAACATTAAATAAAATAAGTTTGTAAGGATTCCCGATCCCCGATCTCTTTCTCCCGATTACGATCTTTTAAAAAATCACGTGATCGGATCGGGACATCTCTATTAACAACTGTTCCATTACTGTGTGAACTGTATGATATATTGTTCTCCCGCTTGCTGCTGGGTGCAGGTGAAAGTAGGGCCACAGTTCTGTTCACATCGCTGACATTTGTTACAGGTAAATCTTGCAGGTATGCAACAAACATGACGTTGTCACACAGCGACAAGCTGGACACTGGATTTGCCGACACAGTACAAACCGGAAGTCAGCGAAATAAAGTTATGCAAAGATTACTTGTATTCTCTATAAACGCTTATCTGCATGTGAATGCAGAAATACACGTATCCTCGTCAGCATGGGTGCCGGAAGCAGGGGGGCCAAAGGTCGTCAGACTTCTGGGTTCCAGGATTTAATTTTTACAGCATTGCCATTATATCCTCGTGCCTTTTATTTTGAAATATGCTCTTTAACTTCCGGTCCACCGGACTTTTTTTCTTCATTCTTCAATACAAAACGGAAAATTGAATGAAGTTTTTTTAATTAGGTCTTCTTGTTATCCGTTTTTTTATTCAGAAAACGGCTTTGGTTTCGCGTTTTTTCGTTTTTGGTTCAAACGAAAAATCAAACTAACAAAACGTACAGACTTTTTTTTATTAGGTTTTCTCGTTATCGGTCTTCCGGTCTTCAAAAACGAAAAAAAGCTGGTATTTTCGTTTTTTGGCTTTTGGTTCAAGCGAAAAATCAAACTAACAAAACGTACACGGACCGACCCTGACCAAGCGTCGCTATTCGACTATCGGGGAGTGAGACTGTGTTGATACTGTAGTTAGGGTCAATTCAATTCAGTGAAATTCAATGAATGTACTTACATTTAACACTGATTTAAAGGGGCCATGAGCTGACATCTTTTTGAACGTTGACTTAAATGTATTTTGTAAACAAATTACACATACAGTAATTGTATTTGGTTTGTTGAAAGCAATATTGCGTTTCAATTAAAAAATAATAGGTTCAACTCAATACCATTGCATTCAACTAACCTAATATAAGTACAGTATGTGGAACCTGTTGACTGATACATTTAATTAAAATCAATGTTTAATTTGTTCAGTGTGTTATGCTCATTTTCAGGTTCATATTTGTATTTAGTGTCTCTACTGTGACACGTCTCCATGCTTTAATGTTCAAAAAGCTCTTTATATTTCTCAAACTGTCTTTGCTAAAGCACCTCTTTTCACCCTCTGTCTGAAACCAGAGCCCAGTCTGGTCTGATTGGTTAGCTGGCCGGCTCTGTTGTGAGTGGTTAACTGCGCAGGAAAGTTCCGGCCCATAGATGTCATCATGTCACTCTGTTACAGAAATAAACAAATAAGTTTAATGGATGCGTTTCAGGAAAGGTGGGTGGGGAAAACTCCCTCTGGAGGGCACGCAGGGATTTTAGCCTTTGCAGACCATTTACATGCGTAAAAACCTTTTTAACCCAAGAAAGCATACATTTTCTTTTTGAAGGGTCGCAGTGGCTAAAACTTTTAAATAATAAGAGACATTAAATATATTACATTTAGAGGGATCATTAATAGACCATTAGCTCTAAGATAAAACACATAATTAAGTATTACTTTAAATGACTACAGCTTAATTTGAGTGATTTCTCTACATTGATATGTCCTTTAACCAAAAGAGACCCTAAATCATATTGTTTTTTTACTACAGGGCTTCTGGCTCAGGTTGAGTACGATGTGGATGTTGAGCTGAATTTTACTGATATTGGGACCGTGGGCGCCCTTAGAAGCATACATATGGATATAATATTTACTGGTATTTTTTTCGGCACTATAATCTGTATTTGGTTATTAAAAAAAAGTATTTGTGTCCTTTCAATTCTCTCTCACTCAAGGTGACCTCGTATTTAATAGGCCTACTATAGAATTACAAACATGAGCAAATATAAATGATCAAACAGATAAATATCAAACAATATGACAAGATGAAAAGAATGAGGATGAGAGAAACATGAATACCTATTCTTGACCATAATTGCATTTCTTCACTCAGCAATGTTGCCCAGATGTCATGACACGACCTAGATTTGGAACAAATTACTTACAAATAATTGTCTCTAATTCGACTCTCTTTTTCTACAGTACCTTTAGTATTTTATGAATACCAGATTATTATCGAGGTGAAAACCAGCGATGCGGATCAGCTGAGAAACGTCCTGAACAGTTTAACTTTTCCTGTCCAGATCAGCCCCTCAGTTAACATATTAGATGCCAATATCACCACAGGTAAGAACAAATGCATTATATCCTTTTTTAATATCTATTTCAAACTTCTGCCTTTTTCACAAGAGAAAATATGTTATTCTCTTTAAAGTTTGCAGCCAAGATAACACTGGGTTTCAGTGCCACTGTGAAAATGACTATCTTTGGCCGTGTGATAAGTGTGACACCTATGGGAAATGTGATGGTAATACAAGCAACACATGTGGATGCATCAATGCCATTCCTCCTGATGGACAATACTGCCAGCCTTTTGATCAATACGGTAAGTTGGTTTGCAGGTTTGTTTACTTTTAGGATCGTATTTCTATGTTCTGCCTCTACTGTAATATGTCTCCATGCTTTAATGTAGAAAAGCTCTTTATTTACCTCATACTGCCTGTGCTGCAGCACCTCTTTTCACCCTCTGTCTGAAACCAGAGCCCAGTCTGCTCTGATTGGTTAGCTAGCCGTTTTTGCGATTGGTCAGGCGCTTAGAGATGTGGTTGAAATGTCCCGCCCCTAAGCCTGTTTACGGACAATGTATAAGAACGCTAGCCTATAGAAGCACAAGTGTTACTGAAGCAAACAAAGGAGTCAAATGGAGGCGTTTCAGGCGGGGGGGGGGGGGGGGGGGGGGCGGGGGGGAGGAGTGTGTGGGAGAGAAATTCCCACACACAGGGATTTTAGCCTTTGCAGACCACTAACATGCACAAAAATCTATATAACCTGTTAAGCCCCAAGCCTGTTTTCCAGGTCTCCGGCTCGAAAATGACATTCCCTGAACAAATTACAATAACTTCCCTTCTAAAAAAGGTACATTAATAATCCTTTTTCTCAAAGCAATGATTAACCGTAACGGCCCGTCTACACTACAGGCGTCAAAAAATGCTTTCAACGCTTCGCCCATTCATTTGAATGGGGTGACGTAGGATATTTTGGCATGGCAAGGCGTTGCAAGCATCCCGAGCGTCTATCGGCGTCAAAAGTTGAACAATGTTTAACTTTTGAGGCTCGATGCTTGCTCGAAGCTAGCGTCAACCAATCAAATCCCGTTTTTGCAATTCCCGCCAGTACAAGCGCTAGCCAATCAAACCGCGTGCAGGCTGGGAGAGCCAGACCGCAGTTCATTTCCTCATATTCCAAACGAGAAATTACGGTAGCAAATCACCCGGTTCTTTCCGACCAGAACTATTTACCGGGATACAAACCGGAGGAACCAGGCATGGAGGGAGGTGGCAGAGACAGTGGGTGAAACTGGTTGGTTTTCGCCTGTTTGGGGAGTTTATATCCAGTTTACTTCGTTTTAACATTGCTATTGCTTTGTATGTCGGGGGCGGGAGATTCATGTGATTGGTTGTTGGTCGCGTTGGTCGCAAAAAATCGCCAAGCTTCAGACACGCCCAGCTTCAAGATTTTTTGATGCCTGTAGTGTAGACGGGCCGTAACAGTCAGAAAGAGATGTCACATGTCAAAATCGAAGAAGGGGGGCCAGAGATAAGGAAAATCCACCCAAATGGCCCCAGAAGAGGTTGTTTTTGCTAAATCCGTCTAAAAAGGTCAAATATCACTTGTTTTGCATCAATCTTGATACAGGGTACTTATTATGTTGTACTTTGGATTCCTAAAGCTTTTAGTCTACTAACCCATCATCCAAGGTTAGTTTTCACTATAAGTACAACATATTTTTTGTCATCAAGATGTTCAATCTGAACATCTTGATTCTGACTTTTCTACATCCAACTCACAGGTTTATAATTTCTTTGAGAAAAAAGATTATTATTTTAACCCTTTTAGAAGGGAAGATATGGTCATTTGTTCTGGGAATGTCATTTTCGAGCCTGAAACCTGAAAAACAGGCTTGGGGCTTAAGAGGTTTTAAAGCAAGTGATGAAGGCTATAATAACTCAACTCATACTGTCAACAGTAACACACTTTTATAAAATAGTCTTTCAAACGCCAACATCTCTTTCAACCACAATCATTACCTGTTTTTAGCAATAAGCGTTTCGATAACTCGTCCCTGGTTGTTATTTGTAGAAAATGTTCTGTGATCCACTTTCACGTAAGGTAGTTCCCTCTACAGATGATCATACTTTATTACAGTTAAGCATACGAAATTGAAGAAATTAAATATTTTTACAATACTCATAACCAGGACTGGGACAGCAAATCGGCCCTGGCATTTAGACCCAGACCAGCCCAAATCCATAAAACAAACGAATAGTAGCGGTTCCTGACAAGAAGAATAACTCAGTATAATTAAAAAAAAACCGCTATTATTATCCTTTTTACGTACCAGGGGCAAACACAACTAATACATACCACAAGTATGTGTAACTATCAATCATTAGAAATTAGACCTTCAAACCCTCTCACAAAGCGAACAGTGACCGAGCACTAATAGGGGGGTCTGGGGGGGTATGCCCCCCCAGAAGGAAAGTTTTTAAAATAACCCCTTAAATGATGACTTCTAGTGAATTTAGGGGGGGGGGGGACCCTATAGTGCCCTGCCTCCCCTTTCTATGACAACACAATAGAGATAGGACCAGATGAGTCTACAGGATGAGTCGACGGCATCTTTTCTTGGGCTTGTTTCTCCCACAGATTGACCCTCTGATATGACTCCCTGATAAACACTGCTATGTCATTGATTAGGTTGAAAAGTGTTCCACATTCGATGACGGTTTGGGTAGTTTCAGCCAGGACAAGATTAAGAACATGAGCATAGCACCACACATGGACATGAGTGGGTGACTGGGAGGTCATCAGTGCAGAAAATCCTTTGTACCGGCCTTGCATATTGGATGCTCCATCTGTTGCATTACCTATACACATGCCCTTGTCCAGTTTCAGATGCTCTAAGACCTCTGAGAGCAAGTTCACAAAGTATTGTCCAGTGGATGCATGGCACTTCACTAAAGCCACAAGCCTCTCTTGCACAGTCTCATTGACATATTTTAAGATTACTGAACACTGATCCTGAGAAGTTATGTCTTGTGTTGTGTCCAGCTGAACAGAAAACATTCCGGCCTTCTGGACATCACTGGAGATACTTTCTTTGATTAGACTACCAACAGTTTCTATTATGGAGTTAACAGGAGAGTAGGGTGATGAGAGACCCTCTACCTTTTGTTGCACTGGATTGGTGCAATTTATTGCTCTTCTCTACGCAATCATCCAGATGCTTTTTTAAGCAGACATCATACTTTCCTAATAAAAGGATGAGCTCCAAAAAGTTACCGTGGTCCACGGTGTTGTCAGCTAGCATATATGCTCCCTCATTCTCCACCTGCCTGTAGCTTAGCCCCCTCTTCCCAAGCACTTTCCACATCCACAACACGCTCCAAAACCTGACGTCTCTTTCGGACTTGTTCCCTATGAGCAGACATCTGACTGCCAGCAAACATGCTTTCGATGTCTGCTTTAGAGCACCGTAAGAAAAAAGCTTCAGCACAGGTTGAATGTGTAATGCTCTTTTCGTGCTCCTCTGTACGCTGGTGTGCGTGCCTCCAATCTGACATTCCAGTTATAAATGTGCCAGTGTTAGTCCTCTTCCCAAATGCCACACATACAAGACAAAACAACATATGATGTCCCTTGCAATATGTAAGCCACTTTCTGCTGGTGCCATCTTTACAGGTGAATACCTTCTGCACAACTGGATTTCTGGTATGTTGTTGTGGGTGCTGTTCTAAAAACATCTGTAACATGGGGCAAAGTAATCTATGTCCTCCTGCTCTTTGCTCTCCTCACTCTCGCTGACACTCTCCTCCTCTGGGGATGCTACCTGGCTCAACACAATGATACAGAATGAATGGATTCCCTGATAGAGGTCCATACAAATAGGCATTGACATAACAATACCACACAGTTAATGGTCAAAACTACATGTGTGCCTCAATTTTTTATCTATTTCTATATTATTCATTCTATATATTTTCAATCAATATAAACATTTTTTTCAGGTCCCAAAAGACCACTGTTGCCCTTATAACCACATAAGTAAATAAACTAAACAAAACAAGCTGCAAGCTGACAGTAATTGTTCATGAATGGTGGTTAACAAAATAATGACATTCTTTCAATGAGACAACGTATCAGAGTCCCATTAAGCTATATTTTAACTTGCCAGGGAAAACCTAAAAAAGCCAGCTTACTAGCTTGTAGGCTAACGAATGTTTCTCTTATTTGTCTTATTAGTGCTTCATCAAGGGGATATTAATGGGTTCCAGAACTACAGAGTATCATAATCTTAATAATAATCTTTTCCTAATTTTCTTAGCTTCTGCTTACCGCGAGTTCTCCTCCCTTTCCCAACTCGCGCTGATCTCTCTCCCTCTCATCATCTTCCTCACCACCAATATCGGCCACGGGTGCTGAAGATGGACCTGCACCTGTACTAAACATGTAGGTTATTTTGACACAAGCGGCAGCATCAGCACGAAGGGCCTGCTTTTTTCTTGCCCGCAATTTTTCTGCTCCCCCTTTTCGCTTGGCCTTCGCCTTCTCCATTTCTAACTCGAATTTTTTTTTTTCTCGACAAAAAAGCAGTTTGGCTTCAACGGCCGGCTCACCTCCTGGGGGCGTGATTTAATGATGCACACCGAGCGGCCCAAAGGGGGAGGTGATTAAAGATTTGATTGGGCCGGCCCAGTGTCAATTACTAAAAACATTTAAACAGAGGGCCAATCTACCCGTCTTATGGGCCGGGACTTCAGAAAAAAAAAAAAATGACGTGTCGGCCCAAAAGGCACATCGGCCCACCGGGAAAATGCCCGATATGCCAGATGGCCAGTCCAGCCCTGCTCATAACTCAACCAACTACTGCTGCTGCTACCGAGGCTACACCTGCAGTAACAACGATGACTGCTCCTGGGAGAGGTCTTTTTTATTGACAAAAATGTAGTTATCAGGCTCTATGTAGCTCTTTGCTTTATAACATCTCCATTACCTTTTTTTGGTAAATACATATAGATTTTTATCTTTTCCCCTTGGTCACCAAGACTTGAAAGAAACTATTTTCTGATGTCAAGAGTCTTGTAAACTACTTTTCACTGTGGGTTTTGAATATATTTCTGAATGATAACATTCATGTGACATCCCTGCAGCTTACATATGCTGATAGCTAAGCTTGTATTAACCGATGATATTACTTTATTATGCAGCACAGGGTTAATTTAAAACACAGGCGAGCCAAACGTGAAAAAAGGGCTTTGACCTCAGGGTGTAAATGGACGTATATGTAATTCATTCAAAAATGAATTGATGAATTATAAATTGCAGTTCTGCTTGAATATAGCTCAGGCTATTTAATTGCTACCTTCCACATGACATCTCAACACTGTTGCTGAAAAGGATATTTGCATTTTATAGAGACATGGGTTTTATACCCTTGATCTGCAAGTCATGCAAACCAAATAAAAAAATGATTCACAATTGTGTCCTCTTCTCGTGGCTAGCTAGTATATTCTTTAAATCACAACAAACCGAATTGTTTGATCTTGTTTTTATTCTCTTTTCAAATAAATAGGGTTCAATTTGGAAATGACAGTGCAATTAAACAAGACGTTCACAGAAGCATTGAAAAATACAACAAGTGCTGAATACAACAATCTTAAAGACATCATGACTACATTGGTAAGTGCATTGATAAATACCATATCAAATTGTAACTTGTATTTTCAGTTGAATTGGTAATGTTATGAACCGTATCTCTCCCACAGTTAAACAAGGAGTATGGAGGAATCACAGGGTTTATTGGTGTTTCTGTGACAGGATTCAGGTATGGTAATTCTGGCATTTAAGACATATGGAAGCAGGAAATCTGTACACATTTGACACCACCATTTTGTTTTGTGTTTGTTCTTACAGAGAAGGAAGCATATTTACAGAGTTTGTTGTTGAGACTACAAAGGTTAATGCTGAAGAATTCGCTGAAGCAAATAAAGCATTTTCAAAAGCAGTAAACTCTACTATTGCCCCTGTCATTGGCTCTGTCAAAAAAAAAGATGGCGAAGTGTGATAATGGAAAGTGGATATTGTTAGAGGACACTTGCGTTATCAAAGTAATCAAGGAGTTGCTTGATTCTTCAGAGGTAAGTGATCAGCTGGGGATAACAATTCATCCCCATTTTAAATCTATAAAACACACAGTATACCATAAAGTTATTCAAAAAACGGTCCTATGTTCACTAGTTCTACGTAACCAGACAGTCCGTGTTGTGCAACAATTGTATCCAGGAACTATTTTCTTTCTAACAAACTACACCTGTCAACTCTGAGACACCATCTGTTCAACTAAAGTATGAAGAAAATCTAAACGTCAGGTTTCTTATAAATCAACTCAACAGCAGAAATCATTACCAGTTGCTCAAGATAATCCACTGACCTTGTGAGAAGTGTCATTTAGTATCTATTGTATTTCATCTGAAGTACATTCGCGTGAGAAAGTGAGAAAAAATGTACTATGCTAATTTGTTATAATATTTTGTATTGTTGTAAAAAACCCACGTTTTCGACCAACATCAGCACATTCCATCACGGCTTCTGCTGTCCAGTAACTTATTGTAACTAACTGACCACTGTTTTTATATAAAGTGTGGCTCTGCAGCAACACTTCTTTAATCTTTAAAGGAGCCCTATTATGCTTTTTGAGGGTTTCCCTTTCTTTTAATGTGTTATCTAGTTTTGGGTAAATGGTCTGCAAAGGCTAAATCCTAAAGTTCTCTTCAGTTCTCTCCAATATACTCTTTTTGGTGTGAACGCAAAATTTCAGGCACTAACGGAACTAAACGGGAAAAGTACGGGTAAAAGTACTCCGGTGTGAAAGTGCCTATTGTACGTGATAGGCTAAGGGGCGCGACATCTCTAAGCGATTGACCAATCACAACAGAGCCAGCCAGCTAACCAATCAGAGCAGACTGGGCTCTGGTTTCAGACAGAGGGTGAACATAGGTGCTGCAGCACAGGCAGTATGAGAAGAATAAAGAGCTTTTTGAACATTAGAGCATGGAGACATGTCCCAGTAGACACTACATACTAATATGAAGCTGAAAATGGGCATTATAGGGTCTCTTTAACAGATCCTTTTTTTGACAGATTCTAGGAGCAAACCCCTGGATTCATGTGGAAGTGCTTATTGTGGCTTACATTTTAAATAATGATGTAGATCATTGTTCATCACTATATCTCTTGTTTACTTGAGTCTTGTGCTAGAGCAGGTTATTTTGTGTGTATGCATAACATGCATTATTTGTATGCTTTGGCTAAAATGACTGTGCTACAGATGCAGAGCAGATGTGTTGTGAAATGATTCTTTTTACTGGCTCCTCCTGCAGCACACAATCATAGGTCGTATCAGCAGAGGGGGAAGAAGTACTCATATCTTGTACTTAAGTACAATTAGAAATACCACAGTGTAGGAATACTATGTTACAAGTAAAAGTCCTGCATTGCAAATGTTACTCAAATAAAAGTACAAGTACAAAGTAGCATCAAATGTAAAGAATAGTATCTCAACATGGTAATTAAGTACAGTAATTCGTACTTGAGTATGTACTTAGTAACTTTACACCACTGCATATCAGCTGTAACTGTTTAAAAGTAATACGCCTCCTCTCTAGTAAATCATCAATTTCAGGATTCACATAAATATCAATACTTTTTCAACAAAGATGGACAAACTTGTCAAAACTGTGGTGGCTCAGATTAAGTAGACTAAAGATTCAACGATTCAAAGGCTTTATTGTTTTGTGCAAAGTAGCTACAGTGTAGTTTTGGCAATGAACATCTTGAGTCCCAGGTTCCTCCAACTATGCATAATAAATATATGAGACAAAAACCGATAAAATATTTAAAAAACAATATTTATGTTATTATAATGTTTCAAAACAAACAACATTAAAGTTAATACGGGATAGGTCTCCAAATGGTAGTACCGAGTTTCAAAGCACACGGCCATCCCTCACAATCACATTCTTTTAGCCTCTTCTGTACTTTTGTGGCTTAAAATGTGCAGCTGTTGCCAGAAAAGAAACATCTCTGTATTTGTCATGGTTTACAATCTCTCATTATATAAATGTATGTGTTTTTATTATTTACTTTAGGTGTTGCAGGTGGAGGATGTCCCAGATTTTGTGGAGAAGCTAAGTGAAGAGATCAAAGTGATAAAGAATGATGTAACAAAGTCACCTAATACCATATCAACTATCGTGGAAATCCTGGGCAACATTGCAAATGTTACTCTGGAAGTCAATCAATGTGTCATGGAGGTAGGTTGAACCTGTCACGATCTGTCTTTATGGTGTCTTGTCTTGTTTCATGTTTTATGTTGAAAGGTCTTCACTTCCTGTCTTGCCTGTTTCTGTCTGCGTTGTGTCTTGTTTAAATCTGTCTGTGGTTCCCGGTCGTTAGTTTCCCTGGTGTGTCTAATTTACCCGATTGTGTTCACCTGGTGTCCCTGTGTTTTCTCCTCCCTCCTCACCTGTGTCTTGTTTCTGTGATTAGTCTTGTGTGTATTTAAGTTCTGGTTTTTCTGTCTGTCTTTGTCGGTTCGTCTTGTGTCATGACTAGTTCGTCGGTGCGTGTTCTGTTTTGTCTTTGTATAGCACCTAGCCTTGAAATAAAGGAATTCTCACTTTCATCTGCATTTGGGTCCTACCTGCTTCACACACCGTGACAGAACTGTCCAATCAGCATTATCTTAGTTTAGATATGTCTTTTGTGTCAACAAATGTGAACTGCTCTATTGAAACCAGTCCGATGTCGCAACAGCACATTGCAATTGGGGTTTTGTTTGATTCTAAAAAAACAATGTCTTGGCTTCCAGAATATCAATCTTTTATATCACATTGGAGTCGATGTGACTGATTTTTATAGAGCAGTTGACGTATATTTTTTTTATGCGGATGTACTGTAACCTCACAATTAAATCTGTCTTCATCTGCAGGGCGTCCTTCAAACAGTTGATTTCATTATTGGTGAGGATTCAAGAGAGTCCTGGACAGTTCTGAATGCAAACGAAAGCAACAACGCAAGCTCTGATTTACTGGGTTCGATGGAACTCCTCTCTGATCAAATAAATGAGACATTTACCGTTGAGACTGATGCAATCCTCTTCGACAGAAGCACCTTTGACAACTTGTTCTATGCAAATCTGAACACCAGCGTTGTCCTGGACATTCCTAACACCGGCTTTAGCAACGTCTCTATCACCACTATTACTTTCTTCACCCTAAATAATGTTATGCCAGTACGGAACTCCAGCTTTAACACCAGCCTCTTCAACACCAATAACACTGACCCCGTTAATGCCATCAACGCAGCTGTGGTGCTAATCAAAGTAAATGAAACGATTCGGAACGTTACTTTAAGCTACACCAAGTTAAACACGACTCGGACGCAAGATCCTCAGTGTGTCTTCTGGAACTTTAGACTGTTTGACAACAGGGGTGGTTGGGATAGTGACGGGTGTGAGTTTGTTTCTGATATAAATGACACAGTAACCTGCAGATGCGACCATCTCACCTCATTTTCAATTCTGATGTCAACTGGTATCCAGCGGCGTAGCTGTGGGTGGGCCTGGGCCTGGGCCCACCCACATGCACGTCTGGCCCACCCACAGCCAATCAGCGCTTCATATCGCAGAGCCGGGAAGCCCAGAAGGAAGTGCCACAAACTGCAGTTCATCTAGTGGCCGACAGGGGATGGATGCAAAAAGGAGCAATTCCCATAGACCCCCATGTTAAAATGCCCAACTTTACAGCAGAAATAAACATGTGTCTAGCCTGGATCCAATAAAACGTATTCTGGATATAGTTAGATTCCACCTTCATGACAATGGAATAGGGAGTGCATTTTTTTACCGTGAGTTTTTATAGTAAGTAAAGTAACTTTTGCCGTGAGTGAATGAAAGTATTATTTCTTCTTGAGGTCTGCAGTTTAGCGTGTACACATTTGCTGAATATGAAAACACTCAGTGTGTGCCCACTGTGCGACTGTCAAGGATAAACAACCTGTGCCCCCGATATATGTTGTATGTATTATTGCTACACAAACATTACATTGCAGTTTAAGTGTCGCCAACTCCATTTAAGAGATCTCTCTCCCCCGTCTGTGTGCGAGGGGGCGGGGCAGTTTACACACACGCAGCTGCTACATGCAGCAACACACACACACACTGAGGAGATGGCGGAGAGAACGCGCTCCGAGGTGTGGTTAAACTATACCCGTGTCGATGTGGACAATACTCGTTACCAAAAGTGGAATAAGAGTTCAGCATGTGAGGGCGGTAACACGAGCAATGTGTCTAAACATTTAGCAAAAGTGCTCCACATCCAGACGGAGGAATGCACCGGGTTCGACTGTCTTTCTAGCAGCTCTGTAGCCGCATCCACGAGTAACGTTTCCACGTCAGGTGTTATGTATGCTAGCAGCAACACACCGAGTTAACTCCATGATACAAACACGGGTTAATGATTAGAGGAAACTGAGTTATTTATTTAGTTAAAGTTTCAGCTATTCTGTTTACAATTCTGTCATCAGATTATTTAATACGATTTGTTAAAACGTTGTTGTTTCTTTTGATGTGAAATATTATGTATTTAATTGAAATAAAAAGCAATGTTAGTTTTGTTCACAATTTGTTTAGTTAGTTTACTTTATTTTTTTCTCCAAAAGAACCGATAAGAGTAATGTTAAAGGACCGGATCGATAAGACATAGACATACTTTATTGTCATTTCAACAAGACACAGAGTGTACTATTAAAACGAAATGTCGTTGTACTGGCTTACAGGAACAGGATAATATAAAAACTTGCTAAAATTGTACATATAAATAAATAATAGAGACGTGGTGCTGATAAAATTAAAGATAAAGTGTGCATTTAAAATATAAAGACTTACTATACATATAAATAAAATAGACATACTATATAACAAGTGCTCTTTACACAGCGTAATGTAATCTCTGTGTTACTGGTCTACTTGCTATTCAGCAGTCTGATGGCATGGGGGAAAAGCTATTGCAGAATCTGGCTGTTCTGCTCTTAATGCTGCGGAACCTCTTGCCGGAGGGCAGCAGGGAGAACAGAGCATGGTGAGGATGAGTGGGGTCTTTAAACATGTTCTGGGCTTTTGTCAGGCAGCGTTTCTGAGCGGTGTCTCTGATGGGAGGGAGAGAAACTCCGATGATCTTCTCTGCTGTCCTGACCACTCTCTGCAGAGACTTCCAGTCTTTGGCGTTGCAGTCTCTCGACTAGATGGAGATGTCAGCACGCTCTCTATGGTTCCTCTGTAGAACGTGGTGAGGATGGGAGGGGGGAGCTGTGCAGGAAGTGTGTAGGCGCTGCTGTGCCTTCGTAAATAGTGATGTAGTGTGAGTGGACCAGGTCAGACTGCTTGTGATATGCACCCCCAGGAACTTGGTGCTGTCTGTAGTCTTCACTGCTGTGCCATTGATGTGGAGTGGTGGGTGACGGTGCTTTTTGTTCCTGAAGTCGACAATGATCTCTTTTGTTTTATCGACATTCAGGATCAGGTTGTTGGTGTTACACCAGTCTGTCAGATTTTTCACCTCCTCCCTGTAGGCCTGTTCGTTGTTGTCCCTGATGAGTCCCACCACTGTTGTATCGTCCGCGTACTTTATGATGTGGTTGGTACTGAACCTGGAGCATAAGCATAAGCGCTATCGATAAAAGTAGTAGTACCGTTAAAGCCTTAACGATACCCATCCCTATGTGGATGTCAGTTTTACACACATTCTGAGGCCGCCGTGCCTATGTTTTTGTTTTCACTGCTAATTTATGCTTATGTTCTATTAGTGCATTAAAAAAATCATTAAAATCATTAATGAAGTTTCAGCTCAGACCCCACGCTTAATATGTCTCCCCCTGGCCCACCTACATTTCTCCAGGCCCACCCACACAATAATTCCTGGCTACGCCACTGCTGGTATCCCTAAAGAATTCAAAGAACTCTTGGATATAATCACCTACGTTGGAGTTGGGATCACTTTGGCAAGTTTAGTTATATGTTTAATTATTGAAGGATACGTTTGGAAAGCCATAACTAAAAATAGCACTGCCTTCATGCGTCATGTTTCCCTCATTAACACTGCCCTCTCTCTGTTGATCGCTGACATCTGCTTTATCATTGGAGCCTCCATTGCCGACAACCCAGCTGAAAACCCGGGGAAGAATAACTATAATGTTCCAGTTGACTCTTGCAGCACAGCAAAAAATTGTATGCACTTGTTTTACCTTGCGGTGTTCTTTTGGATGCTGGTTTCAGGCCTTCTGCTACTTTACCGGACAGTCATGGTCTTCTCCCACATGTCCAAGGCAGTCATGTTGGCTATTGGCTTCTTATTAGGCTACGGGTGCCCTCTGATCATAGCTGTTGTTACTGTTGCCGCCACAGCACCAGGAGAAGGATACATCACGAACAAAGAAGCTTGTTGGCTTAACTGGGAGCAAACAAGGGCCCTGTTGGCGTTTGTGATACCTGCCTTAACTATAGTTTTTATCAACATAATTATCGTAATCGTGGTCCTGTTCAAAATGCTAAGAAGAGGCGTGGGAGACGCCGGCCAAAGAGAGGAAAGGCATACGCTGGTTGTCATTCTAAGGTGTGTGGCCATTTTGACTCCTTTATTTGGACTGACCTGGTCTTTAGGAGTGGGGACCATGCTAGATTTGACAAATAGAGGACTCCACATTGTCTTTGCACTCTTCAATTCACTACAGGTATTTGCAACCATTAAAAATAACCAAATAACAACTTGTTCTTACATAGCAGTATTTTTATATAATACCTATTTTTGTCAATTTCTTTGATGTTAAAGAAAAATGCGTGTTATTTCATTTTCCTCAGGGTTTCTTCATTTTAGTGTTTGGGACTGTGACGGAGCGGGTCACAGAGTGACTGACTCCGCCACTGACAGCCGACACACCAAACATTTCCTGCTCTCTTCCGTCAAATGAACCATGCAATTTCTTATTTATTTTTACTTTTGTAATTATGGGGAATGATTGTATTAAGAGGTGGTTAACCTGTTTTATGTTTGGGTCGGATTTTTATGTTGAAATGTGGTTTTGAGCTAATTGTGTCACCTGTTGACGGTAAGCCTGTGGGAGGGGCTATGGGCTCATAAGGGATGGGTTTTTTTGGACTGTGGCACTTTGAAGAATGTTGCAGTGAAGGCAACAGCTGGGACGTGTTCGGGGGTTTGTTGCAGAGAAGGCAACAGCCAGAACACGTTTACTCTGAATGAGTGATGGACGGCCTGTTTTTGTCTTTTATTTTGTTTGTTTAAGGTATGCTGGTTCGTATATTTTTTGTTGCTGTTAAGAATAAAGTTTTTTGGAGCGTAACCCAACCGACTAGGCCAGTGTTTGTGAACGGACAAATAGAGCCCCGTCACATATGGTGTCAGAAGTGGGATGGCTAGAGCGAGGAAGCTGGGCGGCGTTGCGGAGCGGCGAACGGGACTACGATCCCGGCGTCAGCAGCAGGAGGAGAGCGCGGCTGCCGGGTCGGAGCGGGCATGGGAGACTGAGGACGGGTCCTGGGTGGGCCCAGCGGCTCCTGCGGCCTCGGGGTCGGCCAGTGGACCAGGGCGAGAGGGGTTCCTGTTGGCGGAGCTTCGGGACCTACGGACTTCTGTTTCGGTTGGTGATCCGTATCTTCGGTCGGACTCCGATGGCCGGCCTGATCAGCCGGCGCCTGGGTGGAGGCACTGTGCGGTGCGGAGATTCCACAGTGCCAGTGCGGTGAGGACATGCAAACTGTTTGTTGCGGTTTGGGACGCATTGCCAAAGCGTGGAGGTGGCTGTTTGCCTTTCCAGGTTGCCGCACATCGCCAACCTTGGGGAGGGAGAGGATAATGTGACGGAGCGGGTCACAGAGTGACTGACTCCGCCACTGACAGCCGACACACCAAACATTTCCTGCTCTCTTCCGTCAAATGAACCATGCAATTTCTTATTTATTTTTACTTTTGTTAATTATGGGGAATGATTGTATTAAGAGGTGGTTAACCTGTTTTATGTTTGGGTCGGATTTTTATGTTGAAATGTGGTTTTGAGCTAATTGTGTCACCTGTTGACGGTAAGCCTGTGGGAGGGACTATGGGCTCATAAGGGACGGGGTTTTTTGGACTGTGGCACTCTGAAGAATGTTGCAGTGAAGGCAACAGCTGGGACGTGTTCGGGGGTTTGTTGCAGAGAAGGCAACAGCCAGAACACGTTTACTCTGAATGAGTGATGGACGGCCTGTTTTTGTCTTTTATTTTGTTTGTTTAAGGTATGCTGGTTCGTATATTTTTTGTTGCTGTTAAGAATAAAGTTTTTTGGAGCGTAACCCAACGGACTAGGCCAGTGTTTGTGAACGGACAAATAGAGCCCCGTCACAGGGACACTACTCGATTCAAAGGTATGTTGTCTTTAAACTAATAATTGTGGATAGATGATTGATTCCTCTTTTGATAGTAGTAGTAGAATTATTCAAATCCTTTAACCTGCCAGAAGGTTCAAATACAAGATTATAACTTAATATCATGCAATGAAAAATGACTAAAGTCATATCAGTTTTAGCATTATTGTTATCATATTTTATATTCCATAATGAGATTATCATGAAGCATTAAAACAAAATTATAGAGATTTCTGTTACTTTGTGATTTAGTGCCCCCAGTTCAAGATTTTATTTGATATTTACTCCATAACGTTGAGTGTGCATTTGTTATGTTAGCATTACTTAAGATACAAACTAGCAGGTTGACAACTTTGCTAACGGTGCTGTCTCTTGATGCAATGAAAGCCTTTGACAGACTAGAGTGGTCCTTTCTGTGGTCTGTGCTGGAGAAAATGGGTTTTGGTAATGGCTTTATACATATGGTTAAGGTGCTGTACTCTAATCCCTCAGCTCTGGTGCTCACTGGGCAATTATCCTCCGCGTTATTCCCTGTTTCTAGATCTTCCCGTCAGGGATGTCCACTGAGCCCAGCACTTTTTGCACTCTCCCTTGAACCTCTAGCCCAAATGATACGCCAATCCCCTAGTATACATCCGATTTCTGTTCGTGACACTCACCATCAGGTGGCGCTATACGCAGATGATATTCTGGTTTTCATGGAGAAACCGACTCAATCTATGCCTGTATTGTTATCTATTTGTGAGGAGTTTGGTTGTCTCTCTGGCTTTAGGATTAATTGGTCTAAATCTGCCCTCTTACCCCTTAATGAGTCAGCTAAAATGCTTCAATTTCCACCCAATGTCCCAGTTGTCCAGCACTTTAAATATCTTGGGATAGAAATGTTCCCATCGTTAAATCGTATTGTAACATATAATTACTCAGAAACATGGAACAGGATTAAGATGGATTTGGAAAGATGGACTAGCCTTCCGAACAGTCTTCGGGCCCGAATATCTATAGTCAAAATGAACATTTTACCCAGGATTAATTTTGTCAGCTCAATGATCCCCCTCTCACCCCCGGTTGACTATTGGAAAAAAATCCACTCTTTTATTTCGCGCTTTATCTGGAATTCAAAGCGTCCACGACTGAAATGATCCACTATACAGAGGAGGAGGGAAGGTGGTGGTCTGGCGGTGCCTAATTTTAAATTGTATTTTTGGTCATTTGTGCTTCGTCCGTTACTGGTGTGGCTTAACCCTAATGCTTCCGTTTCTTGGCATAATATAGAGGAAAATATCGTACAACCTTGGAACCTGCAGGATATCCTTTTTGCCAATTTAACAAATAGGCAATGTCAACTACGCTTTGGCCCTATAGTTTCACATCTCATCAAGATATGTCGCACAGCTGAATCACAATGTAAGATGTCCTGCAAGTGGCACACACTTTCTCCTATATATAATAATAAAGGTCTGCTAATTGGTGGGAGACCTGTCTCATCCTCTCATTGGAGCAACAGCCGTATTCACCACTTGAGTGACATTTATGATAACGGGGGCTTGTGCTCCTTTCAAGAAATTAAGAGTGCATTCAATCTGCCAGGTAGCTCGTTTTTCTTCTATTTGCAGCTCAGATCTGCTCTCAAGGCACATGGTGTCCCATGGCAACAACCTATACCCGTTCATCCTCTTTATAAGTTGTTTACTGTACAAGGGAAAAACAGGGGTATGGTGTCTACACTGTATAATTTCTTTCTGGAGGCTTCCTACGATAACCTACAGCTGGACAGAGTATGGAGATGTGACTGCCCAGTTTTAGACCCTGATTTCAGTTGGGAGGGTGTTTGGTCAAGCATAAAAGAAGCTTCTCGGAATCCCGATCACCAACAGATTCACTTTAACTATGTCCACAGAACATATCTTACCCCACGTAAACTTCACTGTATGAAAATGATAGACGATCCCTCATGTAGTTTATGCACTATGAAGTCCCCTGGCACGTTTATGCACATGATGTGGGACTGTCGCTCTATTCTGGACTAAAGTGGCTTCTGGCATGTCACGTGTGCTCTCAGTGACAGTGCCGGTGACTGCACCCGCTCTACTATTGAATGATCTGTCAAAGCTCAATATCACCAAGCTTAAGATGTGCATCTTACTAGCTGGTCTAACAGCTGCAAAAAAGATGGTTGCGGTTCGATGGAAGCCTCCTAATTCCCTCACCTTCAGACACTGGGTCCTTGCATCCCTGGATGTTGTTTATCTAGAGTTGTCAACTGCCCGAATAAATAGGACAAATGACACTAATATAAACAATTGGCGCTCTGCAGTCGATTCCTTCAAAGATCTTTTAGAATGATTTCTCCCTTTCCATAATCCAGTCTTTTCAATTGCGACCTTTGCGTTTCCCTGTGTGTGTGTGTGTGTGTGTGTGTGTGTGTTTATATGTCTGGGAGGGAGGGTAGGGTTTATTTTATTTTCGTTGTCTTGTGTGTTCTGAATTCTGCATTTTGTATATTTTGTAAGTAATTATTTTTATCTAATTTTGTTTCTCTTGTGTACTTTCAGTTATTTCATTTAAGGAAAAAAAATAAATAAAAAATGTTGTGCTTGTAGTTGTACATGTCGTGTATTAACATCAATAAAAATTTGATCACAAAAAAAACAAAACAAAGCCAAACATCAAGAATCAGAATCAGAAGTCCTTAACCTGTTAAACCCCAAGGCTGTTTTTCAGGTTTCAGGCTCGAAAATGACGTGCCCAAAACAAATGACTATAACTTAACTTCTAAAAGGGTTATATGATTCATTAATTTTATCAAAGCAAGGTTACATCTGTGAGTTGGATGTAGAAGTGTCAGAATCAATATAGATGTTTCTGTGTCAGAGAAAATTCAGATAGAACAAGGTCAATTCTTACCTCTGCCTAAAAAAAAACCCCATTACTTATAGTGAAAACCACCCTTGAATGATGGGATGGTAGACTAAAAGCTTCAGGAATCCAAAGTATAACATATATTAAGTACCCTGTATCAAGATTGAGGCAAAACAAGTGACATTTGACCTTTTTAGAGAGGTTTATTATTATTATTATTTTATTTAAAATAAAGTCTGGACTAACCTTTGGGCACATTTGGATACCATCAGTGCCCTTTGACCTTTTTTCAGGTACCATACTGTAAAAATCATTTTATTATCACTATAGGTATTCATTCCATCCAAAAACAAATGTTTTTATACAAAAGGAAAAAAAATGACGATGAGGCAGATGTTGATGGCTCTGGGGCAGCTGTATACTGATCTGATGCACGTCGTAGCTTCGATGAGGCAGATGTTGATGGCTCTGGGGAAGCTGTATGCTGATCTGATGCACGTCGTAGCTTAGATGAGGCAGATGTTGATGGCTGTGATCCAGAAGCCATATCATACTCGTCTTTATCACTGTGAAAACAAATGTGGAAAAAACAAATCGATTACTTTACTGGCTTACTCTTTCAAAAATGTAACTCAAATCAGAAATAATTCCTCTAAAACAACAGCAGAATATCCATTTTGTGTGAGTGAAATAACAGTATATCACTCACAATGCATGCCGTGTAAATACCGTCAGACTGGGTAGATATACAATACAGCTTTATGTATATACTGCCGTGTTATAGTCACAAAATACAATTAATCTATTGATTCATGTTCACCAACACGATTTTCCCATTGTTTTCGTGTCTCACAGAACGATTTCACTAGAACAACAAAGCAGCGTCCATTTTGTAGTTTGCGAGTGTGGAATTACTATAGATGAATACTATTATACCAAATACATAACTAATAGATACAAACAGAGAGAGTACATACCTTTCCCGAAGTTCATAATCAGGGTCTGATTCTGGCTGGAGTAGATCACCATCATCTGACGAAGAGTCAGTGAAAATCATTTCCACGGCCTCTTCTGTGTTATACGTCCTATTTCTGGCTGCCATTATTTGCTCAAATAAGTCCTAAATGCAAATAAATCCTTGTCCTTGTAATATTATGTTCTGTTGCCTGCTGTCGTCTCTGTCATCTCTGTGCGCTGTGTTCGTCGCTGTGTTCGTCGCTGTGTTCGCTGCTGCTGTGGTGCTGTGGTGCTGTGGTGCTGTGGTGCTGTGGTGCTGTGGTGCTGTGGTGCTGTGGTGCTGTGGTGCTGTGGTGCTGTGGTGCTGTGGTGCTGTGGTGCTGTGGTGCTGTGGTGCTGTGGTGCTGCTGCGTCATGCAATAGAACGAAGTGCGTAAAGGAGCCGGAGCTGGCATAATTTATACTACGCAGGATCCTATCTCTGGAACCCATTGGTCAATTTGGGTGATTGATACCTTTTTTGAAACTTTATAATATAATCCACTGGCAGTTCCTAAATCCGGCTAAACATTTACGTTGAGGGAGAAGTTTGCGTAAACAGCATGTGCGACAGCATTAGCCCCGGACTGCTAAACTTTATACCTACTCTGCGGCCATGAATGTAACGATGGATTATCAGGAACAATTCTAAAGTGACTAAGAGACATTGGATTAACCTTGAGCAGCGTTTGTATTCCCTTGAACACGACTTTTGATCACAAAACAGCAACGGTAAGACATAATTATTGTTATGGTTTTGAAAACTATTGTTGTTTTCTTACTCTGTTCTGGCTGCTAGCTCAGTGAGTTCTTGTCGTGCAGTGATGAAACATATACCAATGGAATATGTGGAGTCTCAGCTATCAGATGATACGTCGTTTGTGCGCAATATATGAAGTTTTAAAGATCGTTTTTGCTAGTTAGCACCGGAAGTAGCATTAGCCCGTTTTCGCTAAGGGCTCATTTGGACGCTTCTTGTAAGATTTGTGTTTTGTTTCGGTAAAAATGGCTCGTATCGGCAGGTAGCTGAGTTTCTTCCCGTTAATTGAGTGTGACACATTCATAGGTTTTTAAATATTAAGAAGCCCCCAGACGCTGTCTCCTGCAGTGACGCGTTTTTCCGCCATGGGGCGGGTCGATGGGGTTCAACAGGTTAACTGTCCAACGGCAGGAACATTTACAATGTTACAGCAAGCCCAGTGCCAAAGCAAGAGTACACAACACAATAAATAGAAGGCCGGCTAATCAGCTAATCTGGCTATTGACCCCGCCCACCTGTTTTATGTTCTGTAGTTCAGGCTGTGTTGACACCATTACTTTTTAATGGGAAAAAAGAAAAACAAATCCTCCAATTTTAACAGAATTGCTGGAAGAATGTTTTTTCGTCCACCATTTCGTAGTGAAGAGCTTTGGATCTTGGAAATACCGGCAGCCTAGTTTTAAGCCCTTGACTATAAGGAATATATACACATACGTGTGAAATGAACTTGCTCACTCCATTTAACTGGCTGCAATCTAATTACGAGAATGCACTCAAAGTAAAGATATAAATATAACAACATAAAAGCGTACAGGTAATGCCGTCTCAAGGGCTATGAACGAAAGACGGCACAGGATTAGCATGTATCAGCTTCACTGGAGCACACATGCCATTTTAGAATCATTAAAACTATCTTCCTGTCATGTAAGAGCTAGAATTCAAAGCTTAAAAACACACCAAATGGTTGGTGAAGCCATAACAGAGGGTCTCTATCTTCCTTGACAATGATGACATGCTGTATTCCAGCCAATCGTTACTTGCAAAAAGTATTCTGATGAGGTGACGCCATAGATGTTGCCATTGTGAAACATCCATTCATGCTACCCAGAGAACCTCAGAGAACTCAATGTTATTACAGTTGTTGTTCGGCATAGGTGGAGCTTGTTTTTACTGCTTCAAGCTTTGTTTTGCAATCCATTGTTTTTAAGGTAAACTGGTAATTGTTGCATGTGTATAGAGGATTTAAGGGCATATTTGTTGAATACTTATATATGTAATGGATTGGTTGGAAATAGTTCAGATAACAAAGTGTATCTCAAGGGCAGTGCTGGAGAAAATGTAGCCTACTGTGCGAATATGCCTAGCAGCCCCTCTAAAGCTCACAAGAGTGTTAATGCTAATTATAAAGCAAGGAAGCTTATTTTCTTTGTTTAAAAATGTTAATCTTCTTGAATGTTTTCTAAATCGCACATAAATTGATTGAGATTAATTTGATTTTCCTGTAGATCCGTTCTATCCTCGCAAGAAAATCAACTACAACAAGCACAGGCTCCAATACAACCAGAGTAAGTCATTTTAAAGTGTATGCAGTTTTTCTTGTTCATAATGTTTCTACCCATTAAATAACAAAGATATCCTGCAATCACCTATTTATACCATATAACATTTGTTTTCTACTTTAGAGTACAAGTGGGGGCATTTCCTCCACTGGACTCAACTGGTTCCATCGACTGCGTGGAAGAAGAAGCACGTTTTTATTTTAAATTGAGCAGTTCTTTTCATTTACTGAGATATATTTTCCCTAATAACAATTTGTTATTTGTCTTTCAGACGTCTACCAAGTGTCAGAGGCTGCAAACTCGGGGAGTGCTGGTGCGTCGGAGTCATTCTCCAATATCTAAATCAATGCATGGAACCGTACACTTTATTTCTTTAGGGCTATTTATTCAAAACATCTGACAATTATAGGATTTTCAGCACATAATCAGAAACAATGCAGTTTACTGGGATGATATTGTAAGAGATGGTGCAACAGACATGGTGAGTTTTTAAATCAGAATAGTTTAGGTCCTACAGGCAGCATTAAAAGAAGTGTCTATTGTAAAGGTACTGTTCCGTTATTCAAAGCCCTAGGAAAGCAAGAGTGACACAACATTGTGAATGAAACTTTGAAATTACATTTTATTTTGAAGTGTGAAATGTAGTGGTGCTCTGAATCAATGATGTGCAATGATCAATTATTATCTTAATGTACAGTCGTAGTGAATCATACCTACTAGCTTCTAGGTGTTTCATGATAACATTGATAATACCATGACTATGTTCCTGAGAAAAAGAGCATAATACTTCCTTCATTAAAAGCAAAACCTAAAAAATGTGTAAAAAGATAAATAGATTTTTACTAACAGTGTAGCTCAATAATGCATGTTAGCTAAACAGCAGCAGTTGTAAGAACAGCAATGAAATGAAACTTATGTAATGTTCATTGGCCTGCACCCCCCCCCAAAGAAAATGCTCGCCATGAAGAACTTTGCTTTTAAAATATGTGTAAAGTTCATAGACGTGTATATATAGTTATTTTAGTTTTTCATAAATGTATTTTTACTATCAAATCAAGTTTTATATATATAGCACATTTATAAACGATTTTTGGTCGAGCCAAAGTGCTGTACATGTAATAAAAATAGCCTACAGTAGAGACACTTTACAGCAAATACAACAGCACAGATTGTTAAGAATATCAGTATGAGAAAAACGACACCCGCTATCCTTAGACCCTCTGTCCTCAGACCCTCTGTCCTTAGACCCTCACATCGTACAAGGAAAAACTTCCAGAGAAAACCCACAGTTTAAAGGGGAAAATGGGAGAAACCTCAGGGAGAGCAACAGAGGAGGGATCCCTCTCCCAGGACGGACAGACGTGCAATAGATGCCGTGTGTAAATCAAAGAGATAATACATTTTACAGCATATAGACCGAATGTTAGGAAATGCATGTGTCTGTAATAAGAAGATGAATCCACGAGGATGTCAGCTACAATCCTGAGGAAGCCATCAGGGAAGCAGCATGACGAGACCCAAGGCAGGACCACAGAGACAGGTTCAGCCACGACCCGAAGTCCACGACTTAATCCAGAACTCGGGATAGAGGAGACCCGAGCAGTTCTATTAGCAGTTCTATTAGAAGTCCAAGGTAAAGGCACAGGCCGGCGCATATCGCTCATGGAATCCCTCACCGTATGAACTCTGACCCCTCAAGTGTACAAGTGAAGAGACACCATGTGTCAGCTCCTTTTAGAATATAATTTCTTCTCTTCTCAGAGAAACAAGCGTATGAAAAGAATAGCCAGGAAGAGAGGCAGAACGTGACTATGTAAATGCACTCTCCTAAATATGAAACGAGTAAGAGGTAAAGAAACACAAAGCCAGAAATTGAAAAGAAAAGGCACCATCATGCTTCCCCTTAGAATAGGGTGGAAATTATGAAGACCCAAATTATGAAAAGGGGACAGGGGATACTAGTGAAGAGGGACAACAGTGAAAAAGCCCAACGTATCCAACGTACTAGCACTCTCCAAAGAGACAGAAAGTCAAAGTATACGCCGAGAGGCACAACGTGACTACGTAAATGCACTCTCCCGTGTAAATTATTCAAGGGAAAGGGGGTGAAAAACTAAACCTAACCAAAGAACGAAGTAGAGAGGCCTAAATGCCCTCTCCTAGTTTCAGTTAAAGGAAAGAACTGGGGAACAAACAAGTACAGGAGGAAAGGCCCAACGAGTCAATGTCAACACACAATGTCAACTAGAATAGTTCAAGGTAAACAAGGTAGGAAGAATATAGTAAGAAACAGAGCTGAAAAGGCGTCCAAGAACGCTTTCCCTCTAGTCCAGGGTGAACATGTAGGATAAGAAAACAGAGATAGCGAGCACAACAACCTATCTCTTCGTCAGATGCACTCCCCCGCCTGGATAAGCGACTCTGTGCCCCATCCCCCTCTACCGGACCTTAGATCCGCAGAGGGAGAGGGGAGGGACCAACCCCAAGGGGGGGTTTACGGTTTTAAAAGAAAACCCAGCAGAGATCCAAAAACGGATGAAGAAGTAATTACAAAACGGTTTATAAAACCAAGAGGTTATTCCTCATATTCCTAAAATGTTCTAATCTAATTCAGGGTTATACCAACTCAGCTCCAAGCAACCAGACGTAGCAACCGGTCAGTCTAGTCTCTGAGGTCTCCCCGCCCCCAACCTACTAATCATACAAAACTGAAACCCCATAAAACCCCAATAATATTAATAACATTTAATAATATTAAAAGTAGTATCAATTCTGAGGATAACTAAATAAATAATTAAACAAAAGCCAGAGAGAAAAAGAGAGTTTTAAGTGTTGATTTAAAAAAAAAAATGAAATGCTTTAAAAGATTTAAAGTATTTTCTCTTATAACACAAAGTATTGCCTTTCAACCGTGTTCTTTTTCTGTAAATGATCAATATTTCCCAATAAACATACACATTAGAACACTATACATAACACATTTTGAAGATAGATTGGTTCTTTGAGAGTCAATATTGTGTTATAATGTTTAAGGTGACCTATTATGCAAAATGAACTTTTTGATGTATTTTATAAATAAATATTTGTCCCCGATGTTTAAGGAGACTTACAAAGTGTCAGAAAATAAAACCCTCTCTTTTCCTCCGTACCCATCTCTAAATACGGGTGTACCATGGAGCTGATCCAGATTTAGTCATTACTAAAATGTGGGCTGGCTTTACATTGAAGTCCTGGCAACGTTCCATATCAGAAACGTCTCTGTATCAGAAACAATGTGCGACGTGTTTTGGATATAATACGGTTTGTGTTTACATTAGCAAGGTTCATATTTTTGTAACTCAGCCAGTGTTCTTGGTTCTGGTGGACCCGCTGCCTTTTTGGGCTTCAATTCAACACAATCAAACTATTTTATGTTAAAATACTCAACAGATATTTACTTTTGTTAGATCACATTAATGAATGAATGAATTAAAGTGCTACTTGTTTTTTTGCCCGCTGACCGGCTGGTCCTGTGGCTCATCTTTTTTTTGTAACAAGCTGATGCTCAATCTCATCCTCTTCTTCAAAGCCACTGTCAGACTCAGAATTCTCAGAAATGTTATCCTCACTCTTACGTCCCCACTAAGGTCTAGGGGACCTGGAGACAATAACATACAACCAATAATTATGCGGGAGTCAGCGTAACAGTTTGCACAAGGTTTATTTTGTAAACCCAGAACCGAACAGACATATAACTGAAACCTTAGTTGGTGAGGAGGAGGAGGAGTCAAAGGATTGCACCAAACAAAAGAAACCAGCATAACAAAACCAGGCCTATCTCTACATCTATCCTTTGAAACCAAAACTCAAACAAAAACCCTCACTAACTAAACTACAAAGACTTTGACAAAACAATATACAGGGGTGGCAACAATCCGCTAACCTAGTGTGTCTAAACATTAGTTAGCTACGTGGTGAGAAATGTACAGGGTACCCCAGACTTACCTAACTCCTCCACCTCTCAACAAACACACTTTCAAAAAGGTCAGACAATACAAAGTGAATTAGTGGCTAAACACTGCAGGCTCCTTCATCAGCAACAGGCCCAGAGTGAGAGAGCGAGAAGACTTCCTGGGTGCCTCCTTTATGGTCGGCCCTGGCTGCTGATAGGCCAGCTGAGGGGGAGAGGATCCAATCAGCCATCAGACTCAGGTGCACAGGCAGATGCCGATCAGCTGCTGATTAGCTGTGCAGAAGACAGGGAGAAGAGAGAAACACAGGAGGGAAGGAAAACCACACCAGTACAGCCTGCCTGGCACGTAACACCCCCACACATATAAATCCAAACAGTATGTTTGGACCTGACAATGAACATTTCTATTTACATAGCACGAGATAGTGCATCGGCAAGAACATTATCGGACCCCTTTTTATGGCTTATGTCAAGGTTGTAGTTCTGGACAATCAATGACCAACGCATAAGGCGTTGATTGTGGTTGTACATCCTTGAAAGAAAAACCAGAGGATTGTGGTCAGTGTATACCTTAATAGGTTTACACTGGAGCCAAGATACACCTCAAAGTGCTGCAAGGCAAACAATAGAGCTAAAGCTTCTTTTTCAATAGTAGAGTACTTCAACTGATGTTTGTTGAACTTTCGGGAGAAGTATCTCACGGGGTGATCGATAGCCTGTGCATCTTCTTGTAGAAGAACAGCCCCTGTCCCAACTCCACTGGCATCGACCTCGAGCTTGAATGGCTTCGAAAAGTCTGGTGCAGAAAGAACAGGAGTACAACACAGAATACCTTTTAGGCTCTCAAATGACTTTTGACACTCACCGGACCAAACGAAAGGCTTTGAGGGACTGGTCAACGTAGTGAGTGGGTCCGCCACCGATGAGAAGTTTCTGCAGAAACGGCGATAGTACCCTGCCATTCCTAGGAAGCGGCGAAGTTCCCTCCTGGTGGATGGCACTGGGAGGGAGGCAATTGCCCTGATCTTTGCATCAGCATGGCACACCTGCCCTCGACCAACCTGCTGACCAAGGTAGAGAACGGTACCTTTTCCAAACTCACATTTGGCAAGGTTAAGCATTACGGATGCGGCCGACAAGCATTTAAAAACTTCTCTTAAGGTAGACATGTGGCTAGACCAGTCATTAGAATAGACAACAATGTCGTCCAGATATGCCTTACAGTTTGGAACATGTCCTAATACAAGATTTACAAGCCTCTGAAAGGTGGCAGGTGCGTTACACATACCGAAAGGCATCACAGTATACTGAAGGAAACTGTCAGGTGTCACAAAGGCCGAGATGTCAGAAGCACGCTGTGTTAAAGGAACTTGCCAGTATCCCTTTAACATGTCCAGCTTACTGACAAATTGTGCAGGACCAATTTCATCGATGCAGTCATCAATGAGCGGTAATGGGTGTGCATCGGGGACAGTGACAGCATTAACCTTGCGAAAGTCAGTGCAGAATCTGGGACTTCCATCTGACTTTGTGTCTAGCACACAAGGGGAACTCCAGGGACTGGAATTAGGCCTTGCAAATCCGTGTTTAAGTAGATACTCAACTTCCCTTTTCATAACCTCTCTCTTAACTGGGTTAACCCTGTACGGACGCTGTTTGATGGGCGAGGCAGGGAGGACAGCTACTTTAAAGAATCCTTTGACAAGAGATGAGTGAATATAAACATTGTGCAAAGGAGCCGCAACTAGTGTCATGCCTACCCCTTGAACAACAGCACTTGATCCACATGATGATCTGGAGGTTAAAGGTAAGATGCCTTCTCTAATAATGGACTGAGAACCTCCTGTGTCCCTAAGTACCTGTACTGGCAGCTGGTCTTTA